TCAAAAATTTTCCCGACGTGGACCTTTTGCCCGCTCTTCTGAGCCCGATTGGAGACGTCGCTCCATTCCCGAACAGATTCCATGTCCCAAGCCTTCTTGGTCATCAGTTTGTTCCATTCAACATCGAGGGAAGCCTGAGCTTTAGGGTTCTGGGAAAGTTCCTTCTTATTCACTGGCCTAGCAACCATAGCCAACTTATCCATGATGTCTTCATGGGAAACAGGCGAGGTGTTAGCCAGCTTTTCCCTGTGCTCGGCTTCATCCCCCTGAGTGACAGGCATAGCTGGGAAGGAACCATCTCCGTTAGGAGTGGGAGTCTTAGCAGGCTTGATCTCAAAAGTGGTTTGACCAACCCACTTGAACCGAAGTTTCTTATTTCTCCGCCTAACGTTACGCCAATCATCTTCATCTTCGATGATGCTGTCTCCTTTGTAAGGGATAATTTTGGTGCAGCGGGCATTGGAGATCCTATTGAGATCAATCGGACAATCGGTGAGGTCGGGAGAGAACAACTCATTTCTGGGTCGGAAATGATACCTGATCAAATGATTACCAGTGATGCCCCAAGCATCTTGCATGCGAGACGCCGCGCCAGCGGGCCGATCGGTGCTTGAACCTCGGCCGTCATCGCCGTCAATTTCTTTAAGAGCGGCTTGCATGTTCGCTTCATCAATAGCCTTCTTCTTCTGGCTCTTTGACATGTTGACCCATAAATGTGAGGGGATATCGTCAGGTTTGGTGGAACCTCGTGTCCCCCCATATCTCCTACCTAGAGTTCCCCCTGAGTCATAGAAACGACCTCCCTCGGGCAAATCAATAGACTTACCACTCACGGGATCAATGACTTTAGGTCGCTCATCGGTCGGCGTCTTCAACATCCATCTTTTGTTCCTCCGACATCTCGGCATCCTGGTTTTCAAGAGGAGTGTTGTCTGGACCTTCAAGTGCATCCGAGGCGTGCCCCAAGCGAACCTTTTCGTAACGCTCCTTCATAGGAAACACGAAGTCTCCCTCGGGAACACTGAATTGGCTAGCAACGATGGGCTTCAAGCACTCGTGGAAATCATTCCTATTCAAATCCTTGATGGGAAGAACAACTATCTCCTTTTTCCATTTCATTCCAGGCTGAAAATGATAGCCGAGAAACACGCCGGGTTCGGATGTTGGCTCGAACCTTGGACGGTTCTTTCTTTGAGCTTTGGGTCCTACCCAATAATCGACGCGACATCCAAAAGGAAGTGCTTTGCCAGGAAAGGCTTCCCCGAATCTGCGATACCAGGGAGCATACTCAATCCCGTTAGGGTGAGAAATGTTGAATGCAGTGCATGCATGCTCGAGGGCTTGTGGCCAATATACATGTGACAATCCAGCCTGCAACAAATTGCACCTTGTGCCTTCTGTCGTAGCACGGACTGCCCTTTCGGCCATCGAGTTGGATTGGTGGATATACTTCTTGCTCTTTTCATGCCTCCAACCAAGAGACTTGGCACTACGTTCAAGCTCTTTGGCATTGTCGCTGTAGAAGACACCAACCTTATCCTTACTCGAAACAAAATGTTGAAGCGCAGCCTTACACTCCATTTCATCTTTCAGCGCAGAAGGATACGCATACATGAATGTAGTCGCCACATCCTTGATCACGAGAGCTAATCTAGCTTCTTCAATGACCTCATGGTTGTCCCTGTAGATCACCACATGATCGGCGGTAATGTGATCACCGAAGCTGGTGGCTTCGACGGAACGAAAGCCATCGGTCTTGTAACCCGGGGCCTTGTACATCTTAGCCTGATTGCATACCGAACAAAAGGGATTCTTAGGGATGTGCGTCATGAGATGATGCAACGAAGTAGCTTCCTTCTTAAGCTTTTCAATTCCCTTGCGAACTTTGGGATCAGACCTGCCCTCCCCATCTGGGACCTTAGACTCTCCGCCAGGAGGTCGTCCAAGATCCGGCTTGGGCGGTTCATCAGGTTCGATGTCCGAGCCGAACTCATCGATCATGCGACTGAGATGCTCTTGCTCACTGAGCTCAGCAGTTTGCTTTGCCCCTGATCTATCAAGATCTTCAAGGAGCTTGTCGAACTCTTCAGCGGCTTTGCTAGATGCATCTTCGGCAACATCGGACTTAGGAGATTTCTTTTCTTTCCTTTTCTCCGATTCCCTAATCTTGACCTTAGGTTTGGTTCTAGGCTCGGAAGGCCTAACCGCAGAACCCCGTGTGACAAGGTCCTCAAGCGGCCGTTCGTCCTCAGAATCGGGAGCGAGGGCAGGAAGCGCAGTACGCTTAGAGAGATTGAACCCATAACTCCGAAGCTTGGCAATTTCATTGCTCTGAAGCTTGGGAACAGCTCGATTGACGTACGCGGTAATGCTCCATCTATCCCCTTTCCAAGGAAGAACACAGTGAAAACGTTTGGGATCGAACTTCACAAGTTTGTTGCGGGAGACACGTTTCTTGCCATACAAAGTCTTCAATCCTACCTTCTGGGTAATGACATTGTGCTCTCCCTTTCGGGCAGCGGGGTCGTGAATCCAAAGTTCACCCCCTTCGAAGCTGCCGAGACTGATAGTGAAGTTGGTAGAATCTTTCATGTTGTGAGCATCCTTGTGAACCTTAACAGACGAACCATGATTGATGCAAACCGATGAGCAATCTCCCGTCATTCCATGATTCTGGAGGAATGCATTGATGTATCGGGTAGAATGGGCATACTTCTGCGTACGGTTAGTAATGCCCTGGACGCCACCATGTGCGAAAGCGCCAAGCACAAGATACTCGACGTTTCCGTCGGTGCGACCCTCGTGGTTTGTAATTGACTTACGATTGCTCTTAGAGGGCTTGCAGTTCATAGATTGCAGTAGCTTCAGACAAGACTTACACTGGAAGTCAAGGTTCTCAAGTAACTCTTTTGCAATTCTCTCTGAATCCTCAATACTCTTGCCAGGCTTTTCAACCGGCGATGCAGGAAGGCTGGGCTCCGGACGCGGTCGCGCAGGAAGCGCAACGTTTTCCTTCCAAGACTTCAGGTAGGGAACGTTGTCCTTCACATCGAGATAAACCTTGTTCCCGTTGTGATCCCTGAAGTAGGGTCTACAATTAGCTCTCCAGATAAAGTCAAACCCTTCCTCCATGCACTTCTGTCCAACCGAGAGAACGGATGGTGAATCGGGAAGAACATATGGTTCAGCGGTCGTATTGATCGAAGGAATCCTAACCTTGCATTGTTTGTCAGCATAGTTAGGTCCGTTGGCGGTAATCATGTTGATAGGCCGATCCGACAAGAAATCCTTTACATCACCGAGAACGTTCTTCGATATCAAATCCTGGGCACTGCCAGTGTCGGCAATCCATTCCATTTCAATCACAGGATCTGACCTGCTACCCTTTGCTGGGCATCCGACAGATATGCCGGGTGCAATGCAATGAGCACAACCGAACTCAGTCTTACACATGAACTTACATGCTGGATTCGTACCTTGGTTCATACCTTCAACGGTTGACCTCAGCATCTTAGCTGTTGCCAAAGCATCCCGAACATCCTGCCCATCAGGTTTGGGCTTGTAGTTAACAGGAAATTCTTCACTGAAAACCCTCGGCTCGGTTTCAACCTCACGCCATTTGGAAGATTCAGGGGGCGTGGGAATATAGTGGTACTCAGGAGCATTCGAGAATCGCACAGATGCCAGAGCTACGTGAGCGGTGCTTGCACACGAGTCAATATAGTTCGGCATTTCCTTCCGGAAAGCGTGTGCATCGGCTTGGGATGCCGAACCTGCAACAAGTGCGCCTAAGAGGCAGACGGCGGCAGGAAGCGAAGCCTTAGGTTTCCGCCCCCCCGAGCCCTTGCTGTTCCCAGAGCCTTTGCTCCCCTTGGAGCCTCCACTACCCTTGGAACTTTTAGAGCTGGAACGAGACTTCTTCCTATGCTTCTTTTCTTTCTTCTGTTTCTTACTCTTCTTTTCGCCGCTAGACTCTCTACCGCTACCAGTGGCAGGAGCAGAAGGCTGGCCTTTGTGAATGAAACGGCACTTGTCACCCTTGTTGCATTTGCCATGCTTGAAGAATTTGCACTCGGCATTAATCTTCCCAGGAGATGGGCTCCCCCTTCCGGAGGGCGACTTGCCTCGGCCTTTACCTTTGCTTGGGGTCCTACCACGTGGCTTCTCGGGTATCTGATGCTTATAAGAACATTTGTCTTTGTTGCACGAACCGTTCCGAACAAAGTCAATGCAGAAGCCTTTGGGCACACGCTTTAGCGGCGCGGGTGCCGATGGCATACCTGCTGCGGCCTGCCTTGCAATCCGTTCCCGGTTGCGCTCAAGCCGTTTGATCTTGATGACCCGGTTAACGGCATTGTACAAATACTCATAGGATTTCTCCTGTGTGCCGTCTACTGCCCTTTCATAGATGGCGATGTCGTGTGCCAAAAGCTTACATTTCTTAACCTGTCTATGGAACAAGGGTTGCAAAACATCGTCAGCAGGTGCTTTCTTCATGCCTGCCCAGACCCCCGGGTGGATCTATAAATTAGATCCACCACTCATGTCGGAAAATAGAGACGAATTCTTGAATGGATCTAAAAATTAGATCCACTCGCAATCGTTGTACGGAAAATCTTGACATCATTTGAGCATTATACAAAGCTTGAGCCGTTTGAGCCAGTATATATAGTATATTGCATCATGAGCATTAAAAAAGCTTGAGCCGTTTGAGCCAGAATATATCGTGTATTGCATCATCGGAGCATTATACAGAGCTTGAGCCGTTTGAGCCAGATAAACCAGAAGCCCCAAACCCGAAAAAAACTGAATTAAGCGTTTTGGGTCGAAGTTTACGAGAAGGAGAGCAGGGAGAGGGAGAAAGAGAGAGAGTTTGCGAAGGTTTGGGCTTCGGGGTTCGCGGTTGAGGAGTTTTGGGGTTTTGAGGTGGTGGTTTACGGTGTTTAGTGGTTCTGGGCTCCGGGGTTTTGCTTCGGACTGCAAGACGGCCTTTTTTTGCACTAGCCCTCTGCAGCATGATCCTCCAGCTTCTTTTGCTGAAGAAAGTTGCATTTCCAGTGAATCACATTCGACCAAGTGCTGCGATGAGCAGAACGAGCAATCTTGGCTATGACTCCATTCAAGCTTTCGTCACGATAGGTGGAGTACAATCGCGGATTCCCTCGGTGAAGAGCCCGCTGAATCATGTGCACAAGAAGATGACATTTCGGCCTCCATACACCGCCTGCTTTCAAGTAAAGAGTTAAAAAGCGTAGGTACAGCTGCAGCAGGGCCTGGCAATGTTGTCGAGTGAACTGTCGGAATTCCAACTCCAGCAGCTCGTCCATGGCATGGGCAGCTTCTGCACAAGCCGTCAAGAGTGCGAACTTGCGAGCCAGTTCATCCGGCTGCTTGGCGAATTCATCGGCGTACGTGTGCAGCAGCCAGAGGACGAATCTAAGAAGACCGTGCGACTCAGCTGCTTTTGCCGACAAGTTGTAGGTATCCTCATTTCCAATCATGCCCATAGTCAAGTTCCAGACCTCGGATCCCTTCTCTCGCCACCTTTGGTCGGTAGATCTCAGGTTCTTGTAGAATTGAAAGAGCTCGGCTTTGATGGCCAAAAGGGCCAGTTCTCGAAGTTCTGAAGCTTCTATATTCACACTGCGGGGTGAAAACACACCCGAAGCAATGAAACTATGCATAGCCAGGCTTATGAACTGCTGCATGGGTCCGAGGTGCCAGGCGTGCATAATATCAATTGACCAACTATCCTGTGTAACCCCCTCGAGCGAAAACAGAGGGCACATGTGGGTCAGCCTTGCATCTCTCGGCGCAATCCAAAAAATCACCCTCAGAGGAAGCTCTTGGTATTCCAGCTGGCTGACATCTGGAAGCCGGCGGCTGGGCTCGAGTCTCCAGTTCTTGCGGAGGCCGTAGCGGGGCAAGTCTGCAGTGAGATGTCGTCCACGATCTAGTCGGCTGTATTCAAGATTTCTGGCAATCGTTCGCAGCATCTCCGCCGTATCCACAAGAATTTCCTTTCAGGTGGGCTCGATCCGGTTTCGACATACGAAAAGAAAATCAACCCAAAAAGATGAAGCTACTGCTTAAAGCTGGGCTTTCAGGGATTAGGCTTTTAACGGTTTGGGTTTACCTTACATATGGGTGCTTGCGAGAATTGGCGACCCAAATAGAGTACCCTAAATAATAGGATCCTTGTGATAAAGACCCCAGAATAAGGTGCCCCTATCTTCGGAAATTAACCCCCGTATTGGAAGCTTATTCACCCTGGTGAACATGCCGATGTCGTTGTTGTAGTCTTCCGACGAGTACACCAAGTGGCCCACATTGTCCAGGGTAATGCTGTGCACATTGTCGGCAGTCATGTCATCTTGCGAAATACGGCAAAGGGCACACGGGTGGCTGTTGTGATTCCAGAATCTGCCCCCTATGATTTCCAAATAAGCCGGCCAATCGCACTGGATGTCAAGCACACAATACTTCAGCGATGCTTGCAGCTTCTCCAGATCTTGCACCCAGGCATCTAGCAGCGGGAAGATGGTGCACCAGCCGCGACAGCCGCAGCGGCACATGTCTTCAGAACCTCCGGCGAAGGCCGGGCTTGAGTGCATTAGTTTCGGTGCCTTACTCTATTCAGAAGCTCCGGCGAATGCCGGGCTTGGTTGCAGTAGTTTCGGGGCTTTATCATAAGGGTCCGATTATTTAGGGTACTCTATTTGGGTCCCCCATTTTCAGAATCACCCATATGTAAGGTAAGCCCAAACTCCATGGTAAGGTTTACAATCTACAAGGATTTCATATGCGACTCAACCATCAAAGAACCAAACAATGGATGTGCTTGTTTAGCGGAGGGGCGAAGCAGAAAGGAAACGAACTTCTGCTCGGATAAGATATCAGTCACGTAGAAGCCAGTGAAAGAATCGTGCACCGAGTAGCGGACCCCATCCCAGTAAAGAGCGATGGGCCGGACAAGTTCCGTGTTTCCAGCAGCTCGGGCCCTTTGAACAACAGGGTGATTGTCGTAGCAGGGCAATTTCTGAAGAATCTTTCGGAAGTTGATTTCGTCCTTGCTTTGTGCCGAGGGCACCTCCACGAACTTTCTAAAGAGTGTCGAAGGAAGCATGATGGGCACTTTTTCTGCCACTCGTCGAGACTGCCGTTTCTCGAACAAAGGCACAGTCACGTAGTCAAGATCCGGTTCAGGATATTCTTTTCCAGCATGTAATTTGATATGCTCAAACCCGTGACGAGCGGCTTGCTCGGGATTCAGGGCCCAAGTAGCCACACCAGTACCTCCAGCTCGTGTCACATAGTGACACAATTCTGCCACATCCGATCCAGGTAAGGATCCTGTGCAAAACCTATCAAGCAAGAACATTCGTAGCTGCTGGCCTGCAAGCACCTGGTCCGGCGTCGGCCCTGAACCCTCATCTTCCTGTTGTACTTGGGCAAAAGCACGTTTCCGCATCTCGGGTCCATGGACCTATTTCAACTGCAATTGCAACTACATGCTTGCTCTGCTTCTATACCTTAAGGCTTGGAAGTAAGGCCTGCCCACACCAACAGAAACATGCAAAGCTGGACGTCCTTTCACATCCGGACCATTCTCCGACATGAACAAGCATTTTAGACCTTGGAATGACAGCTGCGGGCACAACAGAAACATCAAAGCTGGACGTCCTTTCACATCCGGACCATTCTCCGACATGAACAAGCATTTTAGACCTTGGAATGACAGCTGCGGGCACTCTTTTTTCAAGCCTAGGTTCTCCCCTCCAAGGCGACACATGTGCAAACATGCCTTGGTTTCTGTTTGTTGTGCTACTGAACATGTTTCCGAGAAAACTCCCCTGCTTTGGGTCCTGGGTTGCGGTTGCGGGCCGAGGCATGGCTGCACATCACCACATATCAGTACCAAATCGATGGCACTGCAAGTGGATCCTACCTGCCATCAAAAACTCTCAGACAGACGAAAAGAAGCCGCCTAGGTCCCTGTCGCTCCGGGTCCTCTTCTTCAGAGCCGACTTCCTGGAACCCTTGGGGTTGGCGTCGGCCTCCATCGAAACGGCTTTGAACATGTTGTCCATCTTGTTGGCGAGGTCCAGCATCCTGGGCTGATAGCGAAAACACGAAACAATGGTCACCATGCACAAACGTTCAATCACAAAAGCAAAACATGAATCTAGCCAAGTCACTGCTGGGCAGCACCTTGGCATCGATCTTTGAACATGGTGAGCAGCGGGAGGTAGCGATCCTTGTAGTCCTTCTTCAAGGTCTTGGTGCTGCTGGCACCGGTCCCCGAAAACACAGCAAGCTTCAGCTCGCTCACGAACTCGCCGAGGTCGTCCCCGTCCGTGGGCGTGACCTGCATCTTCAAGGCCGCCTGCAGGGAGTCAAACTCCTTCATGAGCGGGGCTGCCCACTGCTCGCCATGCAGGGCCGCTTGCAACCTCTCCACGGTCTGCGAAGCACGTTGGATCTGCAGCACCACCGTCCTGGCGGCGGCCTCTGCCTCCTTGACCGTGCCCTCCTGCTTTGCCTTGGCCTTTGCCTTGGGTTTGGCGGGTTCCTTCTTATTGTCCTTCTCGGTCTTGCCCTTCTTGTCCTTCTCGGTCGTCTTGGCATCCTCGTCCGGAGCCTCCTCGAAGTCCTTGGGGACCTTTCGCTTGTTCGGCTTGCGGTTGGTGGCCTTTGCATCCTTGTCGTCCTCGACCACTTCGATGCCCGGCACCGTGATGACCATCTCGGCGTAGCCCTTCAAGCCCAGGTCGCTCTCCTTGGGGGGGTTAGGGGTTTAGGGGTGTAGGGTTTAGGGGTTTAATGGTTTGGGGGTTTAGGGTTTATGGTCTAGGGGTTGAGGGTTTGGGGTTTAGGGGTTTAGGCGGGGGACTTAGTAAGTAGTTAGTAAGTAGACTTATAAGTGCCCTAAGAGGGACCCTAATTGGGGTTATGGTACAAAAGACAAAATCCCTAAAATAACCAGAAGAAAAATCCCCCAACCCTCCAAGTCCTCCACCTGCTTCAGCGTGACGGCCTCGAACGGCACACCCTTCGCTGCAGCATACTTTCTGCGTGCTCGCGACTGATATGCCTCCGTCTCGTAAGTTGGCGAGCTGCCCATCTGGCTGGCTACCTCCTGCCACTCTTCCTCCTGCGTCGAGCTCGACAGCCGCTCTACGAGCAGGAAGTTTTCTGCCCGTGTCCACTTGTTAAACTCGCAGAAGATCTCCTGACCAAAGGGCCCACAAAAAGGAAAACACCAAAACGAAGAAGCTTGAAACTCACAAAACCAAAAATCCTCTTGTATCCAAGGCACCCCAAACTGACGGCACATCGCGACGTAGTTGTCGGTCTGTCGCTTCGCCTCTGGCTCGTGAGCCCCTCCGAAGTGGACTCTCAACTGAAGCTCCGATTTCCAGCTGCCCAGCTCTTGCTGACGGTTAACGTTCCTAAGTTGGCTTCAGAATCACTATAGTTTATCTTCCTCATAACAAGCAAAAGCGGGAGATCCAAACAATGCAGGAAAATGATTTCTGTACTGTGTGCAAACACTGAACAAAACATCCAAGATTCCTCAGAACTCTCGTCCGCTGCCGGACGACCTTCTCGAAGGATCTCTCGATCGACCACGAGGTCCTGAACTTCTTCTTGAGGTCCTCCGACAACCACTTGTACACGTCGTTCTTGACATGAGGGTCCTTGTCCAAGGCCCGGTTCAATGCCTGGCCTGCTGCCCCCCTCGCCGAGGTGTCCAGGCCAATGCAGGCATAATGATGCAGCCCCAAGTCGGAGGATTTCACCATCTGTAGTGTGACCTCGCCGATGGCCATGTTGTGTTCGGCTGCATACATCTTGACTGCCCTCTCGTTGCTCGGTGTCAAGTCCTCCTGTCTCAGGAGACCACAGGGCTTTTTAAGGTTTGTGACATGCTAGCCCGGGAAGCAAAAACAACACGTAGCTCCGATCCTTTGGCTTTCCAGGCGGCTTCTGCTGGGCCTTCTGCTCCGTGGCGATCGGGGCCTCGTCTGAAACGTGCTGGGGTGCTTGGGGCTATAAGTGTACTTAGGGTTTAGGGTCCTGAAAGGGATCGGGGTCTTAAGGGTTATGAAGGTCTTAGGGGCTTAAGCTTTTGAAAGTATGGCCTGCGTGGATGCCATAGCCCCAGCCGTGTCGTTCTTCTGCTCGGAACCACGATCCTGGAAGGGCTTAAGGATTATGAGGTCTTAAGGGCTTGGGGTTTTAAGGGCTTCGTGGTCTTAAGGATTATGGGGCCTTAGGGGTTTGGGGTTTCAAAGGTTTGGGGGTCTTAAGGAATATGAAATCAAAAGGGTTGTGAAGGTCTTAGGGGCTTAAGCTTTTGAAAGTATGGCCTGCGTGGATGCTATAGCCCCAGCCCCGTCGTTCTTCTGCTCGGAACCACGATCCTGGAAGGTTCAAGGGCTTAAGGATTATGAGGTCTTAAGGGCTTGGGGTTTTAAGGGCTTCGTGGTCTTAAGGATTATGGGGCCTTAGGGGTTTGGGGTTTCAAGGGTTTGGGGGTCTTAAGGAATATGAAATCAAAAGGGTTGTGAAGGTCTTAGGGGCTAGGGCTTTTGAAAGTATGGCCTGCGTGGATGCCATAGCCCCAGCCGTGTCGTTCTTCTGATCGGAACCACCATCCTGAAAGGGATCGGGGTCTTAAGGGTTATGAATGTCTTAAGGGCTATAGGGCTTTTGAAAGTATGGCCTGCGTGGATCCACCAGCCCCAGCCGTGTCGTTCTTCTGCTTGGAACCACCATCCTGAAAGGGATCGGGATTATTAATGTCTTAAGGGCTACGGCTTTTGAAAGTCCAGGCCTGCATGGATGCACCAGCCCCAGCCTTGTCGTTCTTCTGCTTGGAACCACCATCCTGAAAGGGATCGGGGTTATGAATGTCTTAAGGGCTACGGCTTTTGAAAGTCCAGGCCTGCATGGATGCACCAGCCCCAGCCGTGTCGTTCTTCTGCTCCGAACCACGATCCTGGAAGGTGAAGGGCTTAAGGATGATGAGGTCTTAAGGGCTTGGGGTTTAGGGCTTCGTGGTCTTAAGGATTATGGGGCCTTAGGGGTTTGGGGTTTCAAGGGTTTGGGGGTCTTAAGGAATATGAAATCAAAAGGGTTATGAAGGTCTTAAGGGCTAGGGCTTTTGAAAGTATGGCCTGCGTGGATGCACCAGCCCCAGCCGTCTCGGTCTTCGGATCGCAACCACCATCCTGAAAGGGATCTGGGTCTTAAGGGTTATGAATGCTAGGGCTTTTGAAAGTATGGCCTGCGTGGATGCCATAGCCACAGCCGTGTCGTTCTTCTGATCGGAACCACCATCCTGAAAGGGATCGGGGTCTTAAGGGTTATGAATGTCTTAAGGGCTTAAGCTTTTGAAAGTATGGCCTGCGTGGATGCACCAGCCCCAGCTGTGTCGGTCTTCGGATCGCAACCACCATCCTGGAAGGTTCAAGGGCTTAAGGACTAAGGTCTTAAGGGCTTGAGGTTTTAAGGGTGTGGGGGTCTTAAGGAATATGAGGTCTTAAGGGTTTGGGTTTTCGGAAGTACA